TCATAACTCCAGGAACACTTTTGAGTGTCACAAAAATGTAAAAACAACTTAGTTTGCCAGTGTTTTCTCTTCCTTGTCAGGTCCTAGTGTGTTTACTACGTAGAATATGATGCTTGTGTGTAATGCTGCGGACTTTAACGTGTCATATTGCTTTTAGTTAACAAATACACTGATGATCTAATGAGGATAATAAAACAACAAAACAATGGAAAGTTTTTTGTTGCATAAAAGTGTTTTCAGAACTTGTATTACAGTTCAACTACTGAAGACACATGGGATGTTTTCACAATGTTTTGGTTTGTTTTCTGGACTTTAAACTGCTCTGGACTGTTGCTGTATATGAAAAATCAGAAAGCTGCAATTAAGCAATCTTAATTGTCTTAATCTGTGTTTTAAAGATTATCAGTGGTTTTAGGGAATTGAAACATTGGTTGATATAGATCATTTTGAGGGTAAACAAAAACAATATTTCCAACATATTTCCTTTTTAATATTTTAAATTTTTATAGTTTTCGAGAATCCAAAAAGAGTCATATTGATCAATAATGTTATGATAGCTGTTTTAACATGAAGTTATGAATGAACTCTCTATTGTTACAGTTCTGAAATGGTTTGATAACAAGCAGAACATGTTCAATGACATCACCACATTGAAATTGTCTAAACAGGCTATAATGTATATAAAATTTATAATGTATTGTTTTTATGTGAACTGCAGCCAGCATTATTTGTGCTAGCATTTATGCACACTGTTCGTAATGCACAAGAATGTGATTCAGAGCTACAGTACTATATACTCACAGTAAAGTTCTTTAATTAGTAGTAAAAAAGAGAAGTTGGAAATACCTTTGCAAGGATATTCTGATAATGAACAATTGAATATCCGAGTGCTGTCCACCCTGCTGAGAGTGAAGTTAAGATGAATGTACTGTAAATACGCCCACACACATAAAATAAACACACACATATTGTGTTGATACGGATAAGTTTGCACAAGCTCTGCAGTTCATCACGTAGAGAGATAAGGCAATTAAAATTACGCTTATAATAGTTTAATTATTTGAGACTGTAGGTCTGGCTATGTGTGAGGCTACGGTTTGATTTATTTAAGTTCATTCTAGAACACATTAATAATGCTCTTTATTGACTTAAATGTATAGTACTCAATATGAACTCTTTAACCATTATTATTAAATTCATGTGTTGAAGAATGAAAAAGTAAATATCGTGTTTTTATTATCCTATAAAATGTAATCTTTAACAGAACTTAGAAAGTTGTGGAAGATCTATTTTTTTTTTTTTTTTTTGATAAACAGATGATAAACATTAATGGATGAAATTTTCATTTATTCACCTTCATGCCACTCCAGCTTTCCATGACTTTTGTGTTAAACAAAAAAATATATATTTGAAAGAATTTTAATTTTGGGTGAACTAATTTGCGTAATTAAAAATTTAGTTTGTGAATGCTGGACTACATCACATGTCTCTAGCAAAGATTTTTCATATAATGTATGTTCTAGCCGAGTAAACAGTTGAGTTAGTTCTAGACTACACATTTGAATTTCATAGTTGATGTCTGATGGAAACTTTTTTTTTTTCTTCAGACTGTTTCATTGTGCAGTTTGTTTAATTTTGTAATTAACTGATGAACTTTGAAGGTGTTTGTCTAAAATTATTAAGTTTGTAATTTTATTATTATGATATTCCTCTGTAGCCATTTTTCAAAGTTGGCAAATGTATAATGTGCGTTTTTAAACCTGTCTACAGCATTTAAAGAAACATTATTTGTATTTAAAGCACAAAATACTGGTCAAACACAGAGACAAAAACATTTGTGAAGGTGTATATTTTCAGGGTTCCCACCCAGGCCCGTAGCCGAGGGGGGTTTCCGGTGGTTCAAATGGTCCACTCCCCCACTGACAAAGGTCCTGTATTTGTCCCATACATGAGCTCAATTGTCCTATTTTGCTGTGCCATCATAAGTTATCAAAATAACCCATTGAAAAAGGCTTTAAGACCAAGCAGAACCTGATGCAAGTAAAGTCAACTTTCACTGTTTTCTTGTTATAGAGAAAAAAAAATTACAAGTAACTTTTATTCTAAATCTTGGACCTTATTCTTGAAAGAGAAAAATGACCCATAAAAAGTTCCAAAGCACCAAAAACGGCCATATTAATACTTATGGCTGTTGTTGTTATCTATGAATTTTCAAATGTACTTTTTCTTTACAAGAAAAGCTAGAACAATTGTGGCACTCTGCATTATTATTATTATTATTATTGTTATTTATTTATGTATTTTTATTATTCTAATGGCCAAATTGTGAGGAAAAGCTGAATGTGTTGCCCAGTTTGTTTTTTGCGTAATAAATTACAATAGGCCAAAAATTGCTATTTTCCCCCCAGTTATATATCATAAAGCAGCTTAAAATAAGTAACCTCTTCACATTTCTTTATTCTGAATCTTTGGTAAACGTTACGGTACATCAAAAAGTGTGGCCATCTGGCAAGCTAATTCAGCAAAAAAAATAAATAAATAAATAAAAGCCTAGAATCTTACTAAAATGCAGTATTAAAACCTCATAATTAAATAGAAAATGAGTTCAATAACTGCAATAAGGTCCACTTTTTGAGAAACTAGAACCACCTTTTCACTAGGCTTGCTACGGGCCTACTATACAGAATCATCCCAAATCAATCGAAAATTATAAATGTTTTTGTCATAGTAAAATTGTATTAATACAAATGTTTTTCAATATCAAGCAGTCCTAATGAAAATGTAATTTTTCTATGTGGCGATGTTTCACGTGTTTTGCCTGCTATATTTAGACTATTTTTCAGTGCCGTTTTATTCATTTCTCACTTGTCAACCAGCGATCACTTAAGTCAAATCCAGCCACCAGGCTGTGAAAATACTGTCTGTGGCTGTTTAGCTAAGCTCCAAACTACAGCTGCATGTTTTTCTGTTCATTATAGCTGATGGAAATTCAGCTTTTTATTCAGTGAAAGTCAGGGATTTGACATGTGGCTTACAGTGCAGTCCTGTATATTTTATTCAAACTAACACTTAAGTGTGTTGTTTTCCCTCCAACCACTGCATCTATTGTGTCAATGTGCTTAAAAAGATAGACACTTTAACCCCAGTAATGTAAAATAAACAATTCTGTTCCTTATTGCAGAACTCATTTAATTTACTTAGCCATTTTTCTCTAATTATTTTATTTAAGCCATTTAGCATTAAATAAGTCCTTTTCAAGTTGTTACTAGAAGAGAAACCATAGGTGTGGTTCATCAAATTAACTAAGGAATCTTCCACAATCTTCATAGGTTGTTTCAATTATTTTGTGCAAATTTTGCTTAACGTGTGCATGTGCTGTCTTTAGTTGCCACTTAGTGTGAAACACTAATACCATGTTATTTATTTCAAATACTTGTGGCTGTGTATCCAGACCAAAAAAAATGTAGATGTGGTGAGAGAAATATTACTAAATCACTAAATATCCACATGAGGGCGCACTCAGCCAAGATCTGCACTAGATCACTGCTATTATAAGTGAGCACAAGTTCCATTTTATGCAGTTTTATCTTAAATGAAAAAAAGAGTGGAAAATGAAATCTATTTCCCTCTGGATAAACAAAGCTTTTCTTTCGTTTCCCATTGACTGTTTTTGCAGTGCTTAAAAAGAAAACAACAAACTGCCATTCACTTCATTTTCAGCAGTTGAACACAAAAGAAAATAATTTGAAGAATGTTAGAAACTGACAACCAGTTACTTTATATAATTACTTTATCTTTATTCTACCATGGATAACAATGGCTTTATTCATAGCATAAAAATGCATATAGTGTTCAGCATATATATACCCCTCACAAATCTATCTTTTTAAGTCATATTTTTAATAGGAAGCTATACAATATTATATTTGTGCATGTACATTAGATTAGTTGGTACTGAAGCCAAATCTAGAAATTATCTATCAAAATAACTGACGATAACGGTCTAAAAACTATTCATTCATTCATTCATTTTCTTGTCGGCTTAGTCCCTTTATTAATCCAGGGTCACCACAGCGGAATGAACCGCCAACTTATCCAGCAAGTTTTTACGCAGCGGATGCCCTTTCAGCCGCAACCCATTTCTGGTAAACATCCACACACATTCACACACTCATACACTATGGACAATTTAGCCTATTCAATTCACCTGTACCGCATGTCTTTGGACTGTGGGGGAAACCGGAGCACCCGGAGGAAACCCATGCAAACGCAGGGAAAACATGCAAACTCCACACAAAAATGCCAACTGAGCCGAGGCTTGAACCAGCGACCTTCTTGCTGTGAGGCGACAGCACTACCTACTGCGCCACTACCTCGCCTAGGTCCAAAAACTAGTACACCCAAATTTATGTTATAGAAAAATATTCAATACAAATTTAAGAAAGAGGAAAAATCAAGAGAGGCAACATTTGAACAATTTAGTTGAAAATGTAGGTTGTAACTTTTTTTGCATTATTTTACTTGAATTAATTTGTGTTATTTTTCAATTTCTAAATATGTTTGTTGACTAAAAATATTTTAATAAATATATCAGTTTATTAAAATATTTTTTGTTTAATTACACCAAAATACATTGCCTATATTCACTGAGAAATGGATAAAAATATAAATTTTCAAAAAGGGGTTTACTCAATCATGCTGAGCACTGCATAATATTTTTAAACTCTTAAAAAATAACTCCAAATGTCGATTTTTCATTTGGTATACAGAATTTTTATGATGGGTTTTGTTGATGGATTATTATTTTATAAACAACAATTCATGTAAGATTTTCTAGTTTTCTATTTAAAAGTTTTTATCTATTTTAGTTTTATTCTGAACTTTTTTCAGAAACACATTATAGGCTACATTAAGATACCATGAAAAAAAAACTTTTAAAAGGTAAATTTCTTGCTTTTATTTAAACTTAAGCATTGTAGCCTACTTCAATAGCCAAGAAAGCAAGCTCTTCGGCTGAGCTCATTGGGTATTTCAAAATCACAATGCACGAGCAGCTCCATGCAAACTGTGGGAGGGGAAGAGAAGAGCCATCTTACTCATTAAAAGTTATCAGTGCAGCTCTCTGGTCCTGTCGCTCTGCACTCAGAAACATGCCTTGACCCAATGTGCACTTCCACGTTACAGGAATGGTTGGAATTTTGCGAACTGCAGACCTTCTGGATCGTTTGGACTAATTTTCCCAATGAGATGCGCGTGAGCCATGGAATTACCAGTGATATGGATGTGCTTCGGATTACTACTTCATCTCTCACCTTTTGGATGCTTGGATCTGCATCTATCGGAAACACTCAAACCTGGTGCAAATCTGGCAAATGTATCAATCGGACCAGAATGGACGTACAGAATCGACAGAAGTCTCACAGATAAGTCTTTTCGACACTTTCTGAAGATCGGGAGAAGTGATGGGCTTCTTTTACTCGCGCGGAAATTTGACTGCGCTCGTTTGCCGAGAAATCCAGTGCCAATGTATTTGCGGATTAAACCACAGCTTTCTGAAAACTTCATACTGCTTCATTTCAACACATTTGTGCATGGTCAGAACTGCTACATCAAATACAAAAGAAAAAACCTGACTCCAGATGCTTATATGTATGTCGTGACTGGATATGATTCGTGTTTGTCTTTAGACTCCTTACCTATAAACATTTACGAAAGTTTACCTGTTTCTATGCGGAATTCTCAGATGTTTCGTGGTAGGTGTGTTGAGAAAACCCAACGGCGTGTTTCTCCCCTCACAAACCGATGTTTACCTCACAATCAGCGAGATGAGGCGAATTTGATTTGTTTAATGCCTAACTCTGTGAATAGCTCTTTATATGTCGACGTTAAGTTACATTTAAATAGAAAATACACTGGAAGTGATTTTGACCCGTGGGCTAAACGTCAAAAAAGAAACGTGAACTCCGCTCCTCAGTTTCAACTGCCAAACTACCAGGTATCAGTGCCCGAGAACGAGCCCTCGGGGACGCGTGTCATTACACTCAAAGCCTTCGATGCCGATGACGGAGATGCTGGTGTTGTTGTATACGACATGGAAGCTCTATTTGACAGCAGGTCTAACAATTTATTTCAAATAAACCCTGAAACGGGTGGTATAACGACTTTACAACCTCTAGACAGGGAAGTTAAAGATACCCATGTGTTTAAAGTTACTGCTACTGATAAGGGGATCCCTAAAAGATCAGCTATTGCCTACCTCACTATCACAGTCAGCGACACTAATGACCATTCTCCAGTTTTTGAGCAGAATGAATACAGGGTTAATGTTCGAGAAAATGTAGAGGTAGGTTTTGAAGTTATGACTATTAGAGCTACTGATGGAGACGCCCCTTCAAATGCCAATATGATTTATAAGATTGTGAATGATGATGAGGTAAACTCATGCTTTGAAATTGATCCAAGGAATGGGTTGGTCAGAACCAAAGTCAGACCTGACAGAGAAGTCAAATCTCAGTACAAGCTTTTTGTTGAAGCCAATGATCAGGGCAGAGAGCCTGGTCCACGTACCGCCACAGCTACAGTGCATATTTTTATAGAGGATGAGAACGACAATTACCCTCAGTTTAGTGAGAAACGATATGTAGTTCAAGTTTCAGAAAACATTGCTGTCAACACACAAGTAGCTGTGGTGAAGGCTACTGATAAAGATGCGGGGAACAATGCTAAAGTGCATTACAGCATCATAAATGGGAACATAAAGGGTCAGTTTTACATACACTCCCCTACTGGGGTCATTGATGTTGTCAGCCCTTTAGATTATGAAATGATTAGAGAATACACACTACGAGTGAAGGCACAAGATGGAGGTAGACCGCCTCTTATCAATGGCACGGGCATGGTTGTAATTCAGGTGGTGGATGTTAATGATAATGCCCCCATGTTTGTTAGCACACCCTTTCAAGCCTCAGTGTTAGAAAATGTTCCTATTGGTTACTCTGTGATACACATTCAAGCCATCGATGCTGATTCAGGTGACAATGCTCACTTGGAATACAAGCTGACTGACACATCGCCTGGTTTTCCGTTTGTTATCAATAACAGCACAGGATGGGTTACAGTTAGCGCTGAACTGGATAGGGAGACAACAGAGTTTTACAGTTTTGGAGTGGAGGCCAGAGACCATGGGGTTCCCACAATGTCATCTTCAGCTAGTGTAAGTGTCACTATACTTGATGTTAATGACAATGTCCCCACCTTCACACAACATTTGTATAACCTAAAGGTCAACGAGGATGCAGTTGTGGGCACCAGTGTGCTTACTGTTTCAGCTGTAGACAGGGATGTAAACAGTGTGGTAACATACCAAATATCTAGTGGGAACACACGGAACAGGTTTGCCATCAGCAGCCAGAGCGGAGGGGGACTTATCACTTTAGCATTACCTCTGGATTACAAGCAAGAACGGCAGTATCTACTAACAATTACTGCCTCAGATGGTACACGCCATGACACAACTCAAGTTTTTATTAATGTGACTGATGCCAACACCCACAGACCAGTATTTCAAAGTGCCAACTACCAGGTATTAGTAAGCGAAGACCGGCCTGTAGGCTCCACTGTCGTTGTCATCAGTGCCACAGATGAGGACACTGGTGAAAATGCCCGCATCACTTATGTAATGGAGGACAATGTGCCACAGTTCAGGATTGATCCTGATACTGGTGCCATCACAACTCAGATTGAAATTGACTACGAAGATCAAGCTTCCTACACACTGGCTATCATTGCTCGTGACAACGGCATCCCTCAGAAATCAGACACCACCTACGTAGAGATCATCGTTCTTGATGCCAATGACAATGTACCCCAGTTTCTCCGGGACATCTACCAGGGAACAGTCTTTGAGGATGCGCCAGTGTACACCAGTGTACTCCAAGTATCAGCTTCAGACAGAGACTCTGGATCTAACGGTCGGCTGAGCTACACCTTTCAGGGAGGGGATGATGGCGAGGGGGACTTTTTTATTGAACCTTACTCTGGAATCATTCGAACTGCCCGCAAGCTCGACAGGGAAAATGTTGCATTGTATACCCTTAAGGCATTTGCAGTTGACAAAGGAGTGCCCCCACTAAAAGCAGCTGTGGACATTCAAGTGTCAGTGCTGGACATAAACGACAACGCCCCTGTTTTTGAAAAGGATGAATTGTACATTTATGTTGAAGAAAACAGTGCCGTAGGCTCCACTCTTGCCCGTGTCAGTGCCACAGATCCAGATGAAGGTACCAATGCTCAGATCCTATACCAGATTGTTGAGGGCAATTTTCCTGAGGTCTTCCAGCTTGACATCTTCAGCGGAGATCTAATTGCCCTTACTGACCTAGACTATGAAACAAAGATGGAGTATGTAATAGTGGTCCAGGCCACTTCTGCACCTCTTGTCAGCCGCGCCACTGTACATGTCCTCCTAGTAGATGTCAACGACAATGACCCTGTTTTACAAGATTTTGAGATCATTTTCAACAACTACATCACTAATAAATCCAGCAGCTTTCCAAATGGAGTTATTGGGAAGGTTCCTGCTCGTGACCCAGATGTGTCCGACAAACTCATCTACACATTTGTTGAGGGAAATGAACTCGGCCTGCTGATTCTCAACCAAGATACTGGGGAGCTAAAGCTGAGTAAGGACCTGGATAACAACAGGCCGCTTGAGGCATTGATGAGGGTAACAGTTTCAGGTGAGCTATGTTTCATCACATTTTTCTTGAAAGCATTCCATTGCTTGGTGATTACTGAAATCTACTTTGCAGGTTGCCTTGACATAGTAAAGGATTTGTCAAAGTTTTATTCTCTGCATACTTAGATGATTAGCTATCTTTGATGGATTTAGTGATAGTGATCTGCCTTCTTTCATGCCTTTCTCTTTTTGATGGTTCTCAGTCCCTGAATCTCTAAATTATTTTTACACTCATACTGTGTCATTTCCAATGCTCAGTAGTCGTTAGCACTCCCAGGTGCACACATAAATGGAAAAAAAAACAATTATTGCACTTCAAGCTTATTTACTTGCAGCACTTTTGACATTTCCATCCATTTATAAGTTTTATGCCTTCAATATATTATTCAAAGAATATGTAAAGCCTCATCAGCCCTGTTGACACTCCAATAATTGTGTCCTCATAACCTCACTATGAGGTATATAATGACCTTAAATGCCCCTTCATCTTTTAAAATTACTAGATTATATAATTACTTATAACATGACTTCATATCTCACATTTTGATTATTTATTTTCCAGACCTTTCTAATATTTTTACAGTGAACCAGAAGCATTCTGAATATATTTTTGCTTGGTCATGTTTCGGGTCACCTCAAGTAATTCTCTCTCCTTCCCTCTCCCTCCCTCTGTGTCTGGGTCTGTCTCTTCTACCTATTACTGGAAATGATTTTATAGTGAGATGCAATTGTGTCTTAATCGCTTCTCTCCAGCCATTTTCAAATTAACAGTTGTTGATTTTACCCAGCATTCCTCATATTCATGTGTCCTAGAACATATCCCCACTAACAATTATCATGCACTAACATGCATAAAAGTTAGTGAATCTTTCTCCCTTTGAATCACGGGGAAAAATGTAATGTCATTCTTACCTGTCAGGTTTGTTCATTTCATGTACATTTTCCCAGGAGCCAAAACTTACAGAAGTGTCTGATAGGCAGTGAGTGATCATGTGTCAAAGGAGGTTTCAACTTGATTTATATTTTAGTTAGTCTTTAGTCACATTCTGTGTCCCCGAGCTGTAACATGCCCTGGGGTTAACTGAAGAAAAAATTAAACAAAACAAAAAAGCTGAAATAACTGAAATCAATCCTTAATTTGAAAACCAGGCTACATGTCCCAACAAGGTATCTCGTAGTATCAGGATTAGAAGTGATGCGCAAGTGATGTGATAGATTCACAGCGATAAAACTTGTTTGTCTCTCAACAGATGTCACATTTGACAAGAAAATGTTGGGAATTAATTTTAGAGCCTTTGAAACTCCTACTAAAGCTAGGTACAACTACAGTTTGTTATGTGTTGTTGTGATTACTTTTTTTTAATAGATGTCACAGCTTACAGAGGATCAGGATGAGCCAGCATCGATGCCCCTTTATCATGTGGTTCCAGTGAGAGACTGCCACTTAATTTCATTCTGAGGAATGCCATGTGCCGCTGCTTATGAGCAGACAAAGAACTTCTAAAAATATGCAGTGACAGATTTCTTTAGAAGACCATTTTATATTCAGTTGAAGTCAGAATTATGAAACCCACTGAATTATTAGCCCCCTGTAAATTTTTTTCCTTAATTTTTTAATCCCTGTTATTTGTACCTAGCCTTAGTAGGAGTTTTAAAGGCTCTAAAATTGACTCTCAACATTTTCTATACATATCCAGTGAAAATATGTTGCGAATGTCCTTGCTTAATTAAACATCACTTGGTAAATATTTAAAAATATAAAATAATCAAGATTTTGCTTTTAACTGATTTTTCTTTAACTGTATGATCAATAGGTTGTTTTGCACATAATGTGATTGATGAGATTCAGATGGAGGGCAGGAAGTGATTCTTCTACATAGAAATCACTATCAAAACATTTAAATGTTTGTTTTATGTTGTTTATAATTGTTTAAATCCGGCAAAATAAAAAAAAAACAAACGCTTTTATGTACTTCCAAAAGTCTTTGCTCATAAAGGGGAGAAATTTCAAGAAACTGACTGAAAAACAGAAGAAAAGGTGGCACGCAATAAACATTCATTCAAAACACAATAATTCTTCTGACAGCACCAATTGAGATTAGATACAGGCCTAGCTACAGTATGTGTATAAATATGTTTTAGTGAAATATAAATCAGGTACAAACACCAACTTACCTATACAAAATCCAGGAAAATATGAATAACGTACCCTGCCATGTAATCGCTCTAATGAAATCTCCGTTTTGTTTTGCAATAATCCAAGTCTTTACTGGCTTTTTTGTGAAATAAACAACTGTTACTTGAACATCTATATGTGCAGCAGCGGTGAATGTTTGTTGATGGTAAGTTCATCGATATCAAACACAAAAGAAATGCAACTCTTGCGACAAAGTCGGTTACTATTGTGGAGCACTTTTCCCCCTTTTATCATTGATTATTTACAAAAATAAATAAATAATAATTTAGATTATGCAACGGTTCACACTTTTGTATGCTTTCATGTGCTATTACATGATGTCTGGAAGAACTATAGTAATTTATTACTATAGATGTCTAGAAGAAAACTATAGTAATTTATTATAAACATGTTTTTGAACCACATAGTCAAGTTTATAATGTGTAATCTCTTTGTTAATGAATGCTACCGAACATTGTAGTATAGTAAACTGATAAACTGTAATAAATACTGTAATGTTAGTGTAAACTGTAGTGCATTGATGGTGTATAATTATAGCGTAGAAAACTAAAACCTATTGATTAATTTGTTTATTACAGTTTTGTCATACCACAGCAACAATATAAATATTACGACAGTTAAATTCAAGTGATTATTTATAGTATGCTTCCAAACACTCTCACACATATTTATTTTTTCATGTAACGCAATAGCTTATAGAGTATTTACCGCTTCGATGACAGGCAAATATCTTTTAGTTCAGTAGAAAACTCTGCCCTCCTCACTATATAAGGATCATGCCCAACATTTGTGTCTTTTTTTATTTCTATCTCCTTTGAATTATGGTATAAATCGCAAAAATACAGGCTGTCCTCAATGTCTCCCATTCAGTCACCCAAAACAACCAATTAAAATACCTCAAATTTAACAATAAGCTGTTCTGTAAGTTGCTTAGAATAGTAATACTTAATTTCAAGTCATCCATTATCATGATTATTTTTTTAAAAATATTTATCTAGGCATTTATTATGACAGGACAGTTTAGTATAGACAGGATGTGAAATTGGAGAGAAAGATGGGACGGGATTGGGAAAATGTTAGGCTATCTTACCGACACCATAATTTTTAAAAATAGTTGTTTTATTTTGTGTATTTGTTTGTCACAGTGTTACACAGTTTTACATAAGTATTTATTATAAATGTGTTTTTGCAACATTCATATTGACTATGTTTACATGGACATCAGGAATGTAATCATTTGCCTTAATCAGAATAAGACAATAATATGATTAATGTGTTTACATGAGTCACTTTTTGAAGGTTCCTTTCATGATACCGTTTTACATGTTATCGCACATAATTCGATTAACGTCATTGCGTCAATGCGCTATCTAGGGTTGGGCAATGTTGACCAATTTGGCATCATATGATGTCTGATATGAAACCTCACTATGGACGATGGCATTGCCGTCATAGGCGGAGGTGAATTAATTATTTATGAATATTTAATTAATTAATTAATTCATAACAAATTAATTATTTGTAGCCTATCGTTTCAACTACCTGACCCACATGGTCTTTGTTTTACCCATAAACAAACCATAAATAAGTTGCACACAAATTACCACCTGTCAGTCACTTTTTTCCGAGGGAGGTTGGTCGGTAAAAAAGGTGCACAACCAACAGTATCTGAGGTTTTCCCTAAAATTACTAAGTACAAGTGTGAAAGTGAAAGACTGAACCAGTGTACTGATGCTGTGACACATTACCTGATAGATTCAAAAGACCGAAGAGTCGTTAGATAGAGACGAGATTAATTAAATATCCCGTTTAACAACTATATGAGACGCGATCCAGCGGTACATCCTTGATAAACTGTCCGACGTGCACTGCTCTCTTGAGCTCAGACGAGCGCATGACAATGTGTGTGGTTGTGTGTGTGTGTGGCTGTGTGTGTGTGATCACATGATGTGCGTTTTCAGCGGAGAGAGGGCTGTTCAGAAATGCTGAGTAAATCAAGGTGTGGATGTGGATCATTTTTGTTCTGAAATGCCATTTTAATACTAAGACGTATTAGTGTAAAGGGGGCCTAAGTGTGTATTTTTCGCGAGCGGGTTTGCGACGGGGGCGGGCCGGAGGATCAGCGATGCCTGCTCAACAACGTGTTGTCTATTAGCCATCTGCGATAGACGATGACATTGTCTATCGGCCCAACCCTAGCGCTATCTACATTTCCTCCGGAGTTTCATAAAATTTGGGGTGTTTAACTTTTAATTACTTTCACTTTTATTCATGTATATTTCATGCATGTCTCTATGACAAACGAGATATTAGATGTGAGTATAAACTGCTGGAAGAGTATTGTTTTAATGGAGTTTGATACCACACACTGTATGGGAAAAAACCCTCTGCATTTTGCAATGCAGGTGTCCTTTACTCGGTAGGTGCAGAGAATAGTGTCAAACAGCTGTGCGTGTATGGACTATCCTGTCGCAAAATGCGGCAAAAATTCTATACAACGTTATACAATTCTATACAACGTTAAAAGGTCGATTAATTATGTTTACATGTCTGTACTGCACTTCGATTTCTGTTCAGGTTGATTATGACCCTAATCGGAATAAATTAATCAAAAATAGCTGTTTACATGATGGACTCTTAATCAGAGTATTGTCTTAATCATATTAAAATCAGATCATTGGTATCCATGTAAACATATTCATTGACTATTGTGGCTCTTCTGTTTGCCAGCATAACAGTACATCTATAATGCTTGCTATTGTGCATTATTTATTTTCTGTTCAACAAACTTGACTCAAACCCAG